TCAACTGTGCCCCCAGATTATTATTTTGACATAAAGTTAGCATCTACTTCTTAGATGGGGGTCCATACTGAACAATATGGCGTTTTGAACAATGAAGATGTGACTCTTATAAGTAATATATGTTTGGGAATTATCTAGATGTGTCTAGTCTTATGGGTTTAATGTTCAAAATAACAGCATGACAATTCTATTTATAGTTAGAACACATTGAAATATATTTGCATATCTTGCTTCTTGTATCATTTACCTTTATGAGGGTAAATATTTTTTTGATATCTAACAGTACCTTTTAAATAAAAAGAAAATAGTTTAGTAATCCTTAAATACCAGAATGAGTTCTTCAATAAAAATTTTTTGCCAAGAACACTTAATTTATTATGTTGCTATTGTTGTTGCTGGTGAAATCCAAGCACGGCTTGGTGTAACTCATAGCCAATAAAGAAGAGGCTAAGGTGGGAGAACAGAAAGGTTCTTTCTTTGGCCAAGGAAGGGAATAGCCAGGGCTAGTGCCTCCAAGACTGCTCCAATGAAGGCTCCTTCGAACTTCTCTTGTATACAATTTACAATATAGGAAGTCATACAAAATAATAATTACACATACTCCTACGTTCTACACAGGCACAGTTAGGGTCACATACTTTTCCATATGTTGTATATATAAAAATGGCAGCTAAACTCCACCCAGAGGCAGAGAGATTAATGTTGTTGTTGTTGTTATGTGCCGTCAAGTCGGCCCCGACTCATAGCGACCCCTCCTTGGGTTTCCGAGGCAGTATCACTATGGAAGTAGGATTGCCCAACCTTCCTTCCGAGGAGTGGCTGGTGGGTTTGAACCGCCAGCCTTCTGGTTAGCAGTCAAGTGCTTTAGCCACTATGCTACCAGAGCTCCCAGAGAAATTAATAGGCACTTAATAACCTAAAGGTCACCTAGGATACTACTAACATGGCTGTCAAACCTACTCAGGCTGCTTTTGGCTAGCTCTGGGAGGTTGGGGTAAATAGGGTAAAGGGAAGAAGTGTTGGCTCACTTAGCTGTCCTGCTTCTCTTGTGGGGTTATTATGCTCTTATCTCTTCCTTTTCTTTGGACAGTGGTCATTATTGATCACTGTTCATTCTGAAGCACTGAGCTGCAGCTCGCCTGGCCTGGTGTCCTTGGTAGGGGGCATGATGCATACCAGTCAGTTGTTGATATAGCTTGGACAAGGTAACTGAGGCTGCTTGGATGGATGTTCTGCTTTTGGTTTGGGAAATAATAGTAATGCCAAGAGCAAGGACTAAACACAACAACAAAGCATAATTTCCAAAACAACAAACATAACAAAGTAAAACAATAAAAACAAAGTAACACAGTTAAGATTCCTTATGAGGTTGGCTCACGTAAAAGGATACTTCAGGTCAGGCTCAGGCTTGTGATAAAAAAGGTACTTGTCCTTTACAGGTTTGTAAGCCCAGGTCTTACAGTTTTGCTGAGTTTGAATCTACAGCTTTTTGAGTTTGATCTGGAGGGATATTTTTTACATGGGTGTGATGGATCCATGCTTTGAGACCCCTGAGGTTTACAGCATTTAGTGTGGCTAGTAATATTAAAAAATACTAAAAAATACTAAAAAAGTCCCCTTTTCCTAAAGAGTGTCTGACTTCCATGAATGGAGAGATACTCAATTGCCAGGCTGAAAGGGATGCAGCAGTACCTGCGGATCAGGTAGATCCTGGAGGAGGTAGTACCAGTGGAGACAAAACAAGACAACAGAGAGAGAGACTGCAAATAGCTTTTAAGGTAAAATTCTCCCTATCTGCGGGTAGCAGTGAGAGCTTCCTTCATCCCGTGACCATCACAAATTTCAGGGTTTGTTAACATGAGGGGACCATATAACAACAGCTCAAAAGGGCTGAGTTTTTAATTTCCTCTGAGAGGTAACCCTAATTTTCTTGAGGGCTGTGGGGAGGACTTTTGTCCACGTAAGTTTGGTTTCTTGACAAATCTTGGCTGTGTGCCTTTTTAGATTCTGGTTGGCTCACTCAACCTTTCCAATGGACTGTAGTCTCCAGGCTGCATGAAGATTCCAGGTGATGTCAAGTGTGCTTGCAACTAACAGTGATTTGAGCAATGGAATGTAACCTATTATTGCTTCCAGTGGAGGCTGGGAGGCCAAACCTCAGAATAATTTCATGTAGGAAGTTTTTTACTACCTCAGAAACTCTCTCCATCTGGCAATGAAAGGCTTCTACCCAGTTGGTAAAGGTGTCAATGAATAATGGAAAATACCTGTGATTTCCTGGGGTCAGATGCATTTCTGTAAAGTCTACTTGCCAGTCCCTGCTGGGCATCAACACCTTTCTTTACACTCCCCAGTGGAGCATCCAAGGAATTTTTCAGCTTGTTTTGTACACAAATAGAATAGGTGTAAGTAACTGCCTGTATAGCCTACAATAATTTGTGTCCTATTAAGTGTCTTTTTACCCAGCATACATTCCAACTCTTCCATAGTGGGTGGGCTGGTGTGCTTGCTGAAGGATGGTCTTTAGCAAATTCAAGGGTATGAAGATCTTTCTGTGTTCAGTGTACAGCTATTCGTTCTTTTTTCTGAGTGTCTCCCAAGCCTCAGGTATTCCTTGGTCTTTTTCTGAATAGGTGGGAGTCCTCCTATTCAAAAGTAAATATTCCCTGTCTCCTCTCTTCCAGTCTGATGTGAAAGAAAGCATCCTTTAAATCCAGGACTATGAACCAAGTGAAAATAGGAGACATAGTAGAGAGGGTTAGGAACAAGGGACATACTGTAGGTGTTACTTGCTGGATTGCCTTCAGGTCCTGGACAAACTGGTACTCCCGTTCTTCTTTTGTACCAGTAACATGGGGGTGTTGAACCACGATTGGCAGAGTGGGATCAATCCATGTTGGAGATACCTGTCAACGATCTCTGTGAGTGCCATTGGAGCCTCACACCTAATAGGGTGTTGTCTCAGGTATGGGGGCTCAATGCTGGGAAGGAGCTCCACCTCAACTGGGAGAAAATTTTTCACCCTTTGCAAGGTCTTGTTTGACTAGATCCAGGGTACTACAATGACTTAGACTTATGGATTATTCCTTGAGATAAAATAAAATTGAATCAATTACTTTGTCCTTTTTGTTGAGGGAGCCACTTGCAGCCTCCATGTAGTGTTCTGGGGCATCACACATGCATGGTGCTGTCCTTGAAGTTTATCTGAATTGGAAGTTTACACAGCAAGTCTCATTGTAGTAGCAGAACTGGGCAATCAGGCATATATAGGAAAGAGTGGTTTAGGGATTTTCCACAACTGAGCATGTGAGAGGACACATCAATGGCTGGTTAATTTCTTTACCTGAGATTTCAATTACTGGCACAGTTCTTTTGGTTAATGGGGCTTCTCTTCCACTAAGAACTGAATAGGTGGCTCCTGTGTCAACCAGAAGTGAGTGGGTTTTCCTTCCACCTTCATTATAATCAGAGGCTCTGGTGGAGGGAAACATTTTGTTGTCTTCAATTGGACTCTTCCTTCAACTAGGTGGCAACCCTGGGATATTGGGTAGCCTGTTGGGGTTTTTCCTTCTTGTCTCTATACTTTGGGCACTTTCTCTTCCAATGCCACTCTTTCCTGCATCTGGCACACTGACCTCTCCCCAGAGGGGGCCTCAATATATTTCTTCACCCTCTAAGAGGAAGCCCTCCTCTTCTTTGGCCCAGATGATGCCCTTGTATCACAGCAGCAAGGAGTTTTGCCTGCCTCTTAGCCTGTCTGTTCCTTTCATCTGCCTCTTATTTCTGTTGGTGTATACTTTAAAGGCAGTTCCACTAATTGAGAAATCCCCACATTCACTCCTCCATCCACCTTCTGCAGTTTCTTTCCAATAGCTGGGACACTCTGCCCAATAAAATCATGTTAACCATGCAAGCATTTTCAGGGCTTTCTAGGTCAAGGTCTGTAAACTGTCTAAAAGCAGTATGGTACCTCTGAAGGAACCCTGAAGAGTCTCCATTTGGTTTTTATCTGACTTCATATACTTTGTTTGGGTTTTTGATTTGGAACTCTTTTTTTCAGGCCTTCTAGTGGGCCCTGCATGTGATATTAGTGATATTGTTTGATAATTGCCACATTCGGTTGGATCACCTTTCTTTGGAATGGGCACAGATAGTTGGTTGGCCAGGTAGTTGCACATCGGGTTGCCAGGAGCCACAACTGACTCGACGGCACCTAACAACAGCAAGAAGAACAAGGTTATGAACTATTCACCTACAGGTCACTTGCCTTGTAGGAAAATGAGCATTCGTTTAAACAAAGACATCTCTTAGAGATAATTCAGAAATAATTCTCCATTGGATGGGATAAATTTTGAAAAATTGGATAGGATAGTTTATTTGAAAGAACCTCTTTCACTTTTAGCTGCTAATATTTTTACGATGAAAAAGTGCTGCTATAACAGAAATATAAGTGGGTGGCTTTAGCAAAGACAAATTTTATTTTTTCACAGTTTATGAGGCTGTATGTCCAAATGAAGAGCGTTGGTTCTAGGGGAAGGTTTTTTCTCTCTGTCATCTCTGAGGGAAGGTCCTTATCTCTTTTCATCTGTAACCTGGTTCTTTGGAGAGCTCATGTGCCGTGACATCTATCTTCCATCTCTGTTTGCTTGGTTGGTTGTTTGCTCAGTCGACCCTAAAGAGATTAAAACACATGTAGTGCCTAAGACTTGACTGCTAACCAGAAGGATGGCAATTCAAACCCACCAGCCCCTCCTCGGAAGGAAGGTTGGGCAATCTACTTCCATAGTGAGATCACCTCGGAAACCCAAGGAGGGGTTGCTATGAGTCGGGCCCTACTCAACGGCACATAACAATAACACCAACATGTGCAATGTTAGAAGTGTTAGCATTTTAAGGGAAATAGCTCTCTACTCCAGATCATGGTTGAGCTAGACACATTTATGGCTAAAATTTGAAATTATTCTTGACATAATCACATGGCTTTATCACTTTTCATCCAGGTATTGAGACTCTGGGATATTCAACATCAGCTGTCCATCCAGAGGATAACTTGTCCTTTCCCCAAAAGTCAGGACTTCAGATGCCTCTTTCATTTTGATGAAGCTCATGGACGCCTTTTCATTTCATTTAATAACCAACTAACTTTGTTGGCAATGCAAAGTGAAGCTGGCAAGAGGGTGAAAAGTCATGAGAAACCAGTCACTTGTGTTCTTTACAGTTCCATCTTGAAGCAGGTAATGATGCTTTTCTGCCACTCTCCTGACACATCCCAGGTATTGTGTCACCAGAGACATGTTCCATTAATTCAATCTAAGGTAAATATGAAGACAAACAGGAAACAACAAACATGGGAAAGAAATGATTTATTAGCCATGTACTTTTCTGCAATAATGTATATTCAGGTGGATTTGAGGAGTGATTTCATTTTCAAGCAGTGCTGATAGACTTATAAGGAATTACAATATTCTAGCTAAAACAAACACAACACGTAATGAAACTGAACTTATCTTTGTTACCAGTTAGTTTGGGTCTTGATGCCAAATGTAAGTGAACCTGGCTGTAAAATTCTCTTTTATGAACACCATCTTCTTATATTCCTGTGGAAAGCTCTGAAATATGCATGAAATATAATTAGCAGAGATCCATTTTGCTGGCATATTTTACACCAGTGGCTCACAGTGGCAGCCTGGAATGTATTCATAATAAAATGATTCAGTTAAATGTGATGCCACTTGGTATGCAGCGCGAGTGTTGTTTGTCTCCCCGCCACTTTAATGGTGCTCTGCAGCCCCTGCTTACGGGAGTGCTACCTGCATCTCAATGAAGAGGCACAGCTTCTTAGGAACAGAGATGCCGTGCAGATCACAGCCCTTCTAGAGGACAGAGAGGTCTGGCAAGGAAGGCAGTAGGAGCGTGGTCTGGGACAGCCTGTGGGTCTCATGGAAGGGGACTGGACACCATTGGAGGTCAGTCAGCTGCAAGGATCACCTCAGGCCTGATAATAACAGCACAGTGGGAGCAACACAAGCAAGTATCCAGCTTGCAGCCAATTAAACAATAATTCTAACCCATTCCTCCTTTTCCCTTTGTAGAAGGTTTTGCATTTACCCAGAAATGAGTAGTTCTGATTTTGTGCAAGGGGTGGAGAGCCCCTTTGTTAGTAATGAGTGGTGTGTCATGTCACTACTTGAAACACTGTTTTCTGGTTATTCTAGGAGATAAAAAGTCCTTTAAAAAACAATCCATTTTGCATTCCATCTGCAGGAAACATTCCCTTATAAATGTTTTACTGAACTTTAGGAAGGCAACCAGTTAATTCGGCTCCCTGGTGGCCACTGAGAGATGTATATGTTTTCAGGAGAACATTTTGCTAATTGAGATCTGCAAAGTTAAAAAGCTATGCTTGTGCTTAGATGCTAAGATCCTGTGTTGCCTGGCCATAAGGTGAGTAATATTCCATGAGGAATTAAGGAAGTGAGACATAAAGAAAGTCTTGGATTCTCCATGTGGGTTGTGAAGATAAAACTAAAACAATAAAAATATATTTCCATTGCAGGCAACAATAGATTATTCACATATGGTATATGATATAGGAAGAATCACTCCACCATTGAGTTGGGTATTTGTGGCTCTCCTCATTGTTGTTCATAACATAAATAATTAAAAGCATTAATATATGTAAAGTGCATAATACTGTTCATCACATATGTGTTTCCTAAGTAGTAGCTGCCAACCTGTAGAGAAATAGTTTAACATTGCATTACACTTATAATAGTAAAATTAGGAAAAAGTACAAAGAAAAATAATATCACCTGCAGTCCTATTAGCCAGAAGTAACTTTTATCATTTCACGGTAATTAGACAAATCAAACAAAACAATTTTGAACAACGACCACGTACCAGAAATGAGGAATTCAAAGATTAATAAGCTGCAGTTTCTTCTCAGCAGTGCAAGAGACTATGATCTCCCTAAGGGCAGGGTCCAGCTTCTAGTGCCAATGCTCATTGCAGGGTACAGAGAAGGTGCTCATTACATGATGGTGGAATGAAAGAAGGAGAAGCAGACTCATTGCTGTTGTTGGTTCTGAGTCATAGCAACCCTATATAACAGAGTAGAAGAGCCCATAGGGTTTCCTAGGCTGAAATCTTTACGGGAGTTGATTGCCAGGACTCTTTGCCCACAGAATGACTGTGGTTTGAACTGCTGATCTTTCAGTTAGCAGCTGAGCCCTTAACCATTGAGCCACCAGGGCTCAGGAAACAGTGGAAGAAGATGAAATGAAACAGAGGTAAAAGGAAACTGTTATCTGTGTAGGAAACTATTAATTCTGCCTGGGGCGAGGTTGGGTGACTTGTCAAAGCAGCCCAGAAAGCTAGAGTGAGACTCTGTAGAAGGAGCAGATACAACATGAGCAAATCCAAGAGGTTCAAATACTCACAGGATATTTAGGACAAAAGTCTTTATTTTGGTGTAGCTACTTTGGGGAATACTTAATCAACACTCTGGGAGCTGAGGGTAAACAGAACTTAGAGCCAGATTGTAAAGCCTACTGACATGTACCATAGTCTGGACTTGGAAAAATAGAATTAAAACAAAACTTATTAAAATATTGTCTGGGAACCCTTGGAGACCTAGATCATTCAGGGGTCAACTATTTTCATAATACCAATTCATTGCTTGCCCTCTCTCAAGAGTGTACAGTGGAGTTTCTAGAGGCCACACAATGTGTGCTAACATCATTGCTCCGACCCCTAATGGAATGGGTGCTTGTATATCCATGTTCCAATAATTTCTCAATTTTAATTTATAATATAGTAAATAGTGTTGTTGTCGTTGTTTTTCTATGCTGTCGAGTCAGACCCGACTCATAGCGACCCCTCCTTGGGTTTCCAAGGCAGTATCACTACGAAAGTAGATTGCCCAACCTTCCTTCCGAGGAGTGGCTGATGGATTTGAACCTCCAGCTTTCTGGTTAGCAGTCAAGTGCCTTAGGCACTATGCTACCAGAGCTCCATAGTAAATAATATCTATATGTATATAGAGATACACACACACATACACACACATATATCCACACACATATACATACATATATATATGTATATGTATATCACATAAGAATGCTACTTGGGTTCTTCAATAATTTTTAAGAGTGTAAAGCGATCCTGAAGGAGTTCTGGTGGTGCATCAGGTAAGGCATTTGACTGCTAACAAGAGGTTCAACACACCAGCAGCTCCGTTGGAAGAAGATAAGGCAATCTACTTCCTTAAAGATTTACAACCCTGGGAACTCTATGGGGGTCACTATGAGTCTGAATCTACTTGATAACAGTAGGTTTTGTTTTCAGTTTTTAAAGGGATCCTGAGACCAAAAGGTTTGAGAACTGCCGTGTGAGAATGGATAATGAACAAAGACTATTATAGCAAGGAAATCAGCTAGCATAAGCAGGCAGGAGGGTGGGAGAGCTTTATTGTGGAAAAAAGGGAAGACTTAGGAATGCTCTGATTGAAGCTTGTTGGCATGGGAAACCTGGAGGTGGCCTAATAGAAGCCGCGCATCCTTACGTGATTGGTTACCTCTTCTGCCTCATGGTGACCCTGTGTGTTGCAGAGTAGAACTGTGCTCCATAAGGATTTTAAGGTTGTGACCTTTTGGAGGTAGATCACAGGCCTTTCTTCTGAGATGGTGGGGGTTCAGGGTGTCAACATTTCAGTTGGTGGTTGAGAGCTTAAGCGTTTGTGTCACCAGGGAGGAGAGCATTTTGCTTATATGTGGTTGTCCTAAGTTGGAAAAGGGGAGAAAAATTAAGGAAGTTGTCAGTTATTAATCAAATCTCAGCCATTTGGGGCTCATTGTTGCAGAGATTGTTATTTGGCTGCCCAGAGGGCTGTTTGGCTGCAAATAGTGAGTGGTTTGATTTCCTGGACTCGATGCTACAAGTTCTTGGTCAGAGTTCTATTTTTATAAATAATGTAAGCATTGTCTGTCTGTTCACACAGTCTCTCAGTGGAGTTGGAGAGCCTAGGGTATAGATGCTGGACAGAATTACTGATTTTTTCATTTTAATGACTTGTAAAAATGTGTGTTGGGAGGAGGTGGAAAAAAATAATAATAACATTTACCTCTACAGCATTGCTTTAACTAGGGCTAGTCTCTTGGAAGAAGTTCTCTTCCTCCAGCAGCAAGTCCTAGGAAAGTTCTCCCAGCTCTCTAACATTTCTCAGGTTGAATGTGGCTAATTTGCCACAGCCCTTTTTCTTTTAAAAATGCTTGGCATTCCTTAGTTTTCATTTTAAGCAATTGTCATGTGGAAATAAATGTTAGAGAGAACTAGAAAGGGAGGCTTTGTGAATTGGGACTTGCCCCTAGCTTCTTCCTCCTCAGCAATGCTCCTTGAGGTGAAGAAGTTGTTGATCCTCTTTCTACTTTCCTTAGCCATTGCAGTTGTTCTTACAAAGATTCAATTCTAAGGCTCAGCTCCAGTCTTCTCAAATATAACCCACCTAGGGGAGATGTTGCATTGGGGTAAACTGTCAATGTCATCAGACAATGTGTGTGAGAACTGCTGTATGGAAAGTGAATTTGCCCTGTAAACTTTCACCCAAATCACAATAAAAAATAAATAAAAATAAAAATAAATATATAACCCACCAAAAACAAAACCCATTGCTATCAAGTAGATACCATTTCATAGTGACCCCATATGGGAGAGTATATCTGCTCCATGGACTTTCCAAGGCTGTCCATCTTTACAGAAGCAAACTGGCTTATCTTTCTCTGATGGAACAGCTGGCAGGTTTGAATCACCAACATTTTGGTTAGCAGCCCAATGCTTTAACCCAGCACCACCAGAGCTCTGCAGTCCACTCTGCTCCTTGTTATCTCTAGGGACCTCTCCAGCATCAGTCGCCACTCTAGTTGTTTTCTCAGTTAAGCACTTAACTAAACTCTTATTTTTCTCTTTTCCTATATTTTTGGTATAAGGAAAAGATTTTTTTGTCTTCCATTCTCACATCATCCCACGGCTCCTAACACTCTTTTCAGCACAAAGCGAGTGCTCAACTGCTCCATTTAGTCAATTATTGCTATTTCTCTTTCCATTTGAATAGCAACCCATGCTTCTTCAGTTGGCTCTTGCTCTTAGGTTATCTGACTTGGTATCTTTCTTGAAGATTATCCCTTTGTCTGAATTTAATGAACATCCTCACTTCTGTTGTTGTCATTCTAACATG